GGAGGAGGTGGCACCTGAACCCCCAGTGGATCTCATGGCCCAAGGGGACTCTTTATTCTCCAAGCCCATAGTGACAAATGAGGTGCTCCCCTCACCACTCTTATTTTTGGATTTGGTGAGGGATCAATGCTCTGCTCCCTTGTTGGGACCCTGCCCCTTGTCACAAGACAAAAAATTCTTCAATGTGGGGCCCTCCCTGGCCAATGCCCTAGCAGTGCCAGCTGTTGATCCCCCAGTGGTATCCACCTTTGCTTTTTCTGGAACCCCTATGGAACCAGAAGATGTCTTGAGGCCTGATGACAAAAAAATCAGAGCAAATCCTGTAACATACACACCAGGCCGCAGCTTGGGTGGTTAGTCTTCACCGCAGCCTCGTTCTTTACAAGGTCAGTGTCAGGGTTCCAGCCATTGTCTGGTTTAAAACAGTAACTCCGAAACAGACATATCTCAAAGTAACTTATTAAAAACCATCACTGGTAATGTCTGTGAAATTTCAGAACTGAAATCATTCTGAGACCTTCCCACAAAAGTCAACCTCCCCCTCCCATTTTTCTACACCTCATTAATCACGTGAACCAATTACTCTGCAGCTGCAATTTCTTAGTGCGACATACTAAATAACCTTGAACTTTCAAACTAAACTTTTTTCCCTTTTAAACTATTCAACTATATCACCCACCCCCAACATTCTTCAACTCTATGGCAGCAATGAATTCCAGAGCTGACAGGCGTCCCCCCTTGAAAATCCCTTCTCCTATAAGAAAAGAAAAACAAAACACACCCAGGGGTTAATACATTGTCCTTAACCCCCTCTCCCCTCTCCACTCTCAGGTAATGCTATGATAAAGTCCATTACGATTTCTTCCCACAGTTGGGTTGGTTCAGTGACTTGTTGGAGAAGGCCAGGGGTTTTTCCAGTTCTGTGTTTCATCATGGCACAAATTGAGAAAATTTTTACATAGTCCTCGATGTCAGGTTTCATTTTTGGCCACCAGAACGGTCTTCTTAGTAAATGTAGGTTTTTAAGAACGCGAAGTGTCCTCCTAGCCATGAGACGTGGTTATGCTTTAGTACCAGTAGTCTTAAGGTTGTGGGTACATAAAGTTTAGTCCCTTTCCAAGCCAGTTCCTCATTCATTGTTAATTCGAAAGCTTTCTGACAGTCCATGGTCCAAGCCAGGGGTTGACTGGACTTTGGTTTGGTGGGTGACAGCCCCGTTTTTAATAACTCCATTAAAGGGAGGGAAACTTTGGCAAATGAAGGAATGAATCATCTATAGAAATTGGCAAAACCCCAAAAACGTTGAAGTTGTTTTTGGGTTTTGGGGGGTTGCCAGTCTAGCATGGCTTTCACCTTTCCAGGGTCCATCTCAATTCCCAGGTTGGATATTTGGTAGCCTAAATAATCCAGCGACTCTTTGTGGAATTCACATTTTGAGAGTTTTACATATAATTTGGCAGCTAGAAGTTTTTCCAGGATTTGTCCGACCAATTTGACATGTCCTTCAATGGTTTCGCTGAATATAAGGATGTCACCAGGTATACGAGGACCCCCCGGTACAGGTGCAGATGTAGCACTTCACTGATGAGTTGCATAAATACTGCAGGAGCCCCCTGAAGTCCGAAAGGCATGACTCCGAATTGGAAACTACCCAAAGGACAGTTAAAAGCTGTTTTCCACTCATCTCCCTCTTTGATGTGGACCCAGTAATAAGCTTCTCTCAGATCTAGTTTGGTGAATATCTTGCCTTTCGATAGGTGGTTTAATAAGTCCTTCATGAGGGGGAGAGGGTACATGTTTTTGATGCACATGGTGTTTACACCCCTAAAGTCCACTCATAATCGCAATCTGCCATCTTTCTTCTCCTTGAACAACATGGGGGCAGCTAACCTCGAGTTGACAGGTTCAATAAAACCACAGTCCAAATTGTTGTTGATGTATTTTCTTAATTCAGTCATTTCAGCAGGTGTCATGGAATACATCTTTGGTTTTGGTAGTTTCACCCCAGGCTCTAATTCTATGGTGCAATCAGTGGCTCGATGTGAAGGTAAAACATTACACTCTTCTTCACTGAATGCTTCAGCCAAGTCTTTGTATTGGTTGGGTATTTGGGGGTATCTAGGAGAAGGTTGGATGCTGTGCATGCTGGTTCAGGTTTTGGGTTCAAGTTGGCTGGTGGTTTCTTAGTGGGGGGAAGGGAGGGCAATGGGCCCAGCCCAATGATGATTTTCCTGAATCCATCCTCCCATTTGATGGTAAGGGCCCATTTGTCTAGCCAAGTAAGTCCCAATATGATTGATTCTGACATTCTGGGGGCCACTGTTGAGGTAATTCCCCATTAGGAGAATGAGTGCACACAGGGAGATGTAGTGAGAGTCATGTTGAATAACACACAACCAGCACACAGATACACTGAATAGTAAAATGTAGGTTTTACTTCCAGTAAATGGTTAAGCAAAGTACAAAAAGCAGTCCAAGTCATACACAGTTAAAGCAGTCAGTATTCAGTCCAGGGATAATCCAAAAATAAAGTCCAGTATCATAAACAGTTCAGTAACAGACTTACATCAAATCCAAGAAGAACTATGATCAGCAACACTCAATAGGGAAAAAATTCAGTAACCAAAAACAGCGAACATCAGAACATCGACCAACTAGCAACTAGAAACACTCAAAACATAACAACCCAGGTTTCTGGCTCCATCTTATGGCCGTTTGAGGAACCACACCCAATTACAATTTTAGCATTCCCTTAAAGATACAGTCTATCCTGGTTTATATATTTCTAACCGAACGGTTAGGTGACTATCAATTCCTAACAGCCACTATAAAGCGTATGAGTTTGCAATGAGGACCCATTTCCATCTTGATCAACTCTGTCATTTGGGTAGCTGGGGTCCCCCCAATTAATGTCTTATCCACTTGCTCAAATCTGATTGGGCATCTTAGTGGGTTAGTCTTTATGACCAATTGCTCAATGATAGGAAGCCCGATAAGGCATCTAGAGCACCCAGTATCAATGACAGCTTCTAACTCCCCAGCCTCCCCTGTGTAAGGTACCACTAGTAGAGGGGACTTTCCAGGTTGTGTCTAGCAAACCTGCTAATGTCCAGAGGTCTTCCTTGACTTTTCCAACCTCTGACAGCTGTACTAGACTTTGATTGTGGTGCTTGTGGTGCCAGTGCAGAAGCCAGACAGTCAGCTGCTCTATGCCCATCCTGGCCACAACGGTAACATTTTATCATCCTGTTGGGTTGGATACGCATAGTTTCAGCCGGTTTGGTCAGCAGTCTCCTAGCCACAGTTTGCTTAGGTGGGCCTTCAGGAAGGGTTTTTCTATGTGGATTGATGTTGTGGTCTAATCTGAGGGTGTTAGTATGCCATGCTTGCAGAGTCTCTGGTATTCCCCTAATGTTACAGGCCTTCTTTACTTCAGGGTCAATGGTGTTCTTAAAGTAGTGTAAAGTCATTCTTTCAGGCCAATCCATGAGATGGCTCACGACCCTTCTAAAGTCCCAAATAAAGTCTGATAAGGGTCGCTTGCCTTGTTTCATTTCCATTAACTTCTCTTCATTCTCCGCCACCTTGTCTGGATTTTCAAATCTGAGTCTCAATAATCAAATAAACCCATTTATATCTTGTAATTCTGGGGCTTGTTCATTTGTAGTTGGGCCACCCAGTCAGATGCATCCCCTTCATTCATCCCATCTGTTATGGCAGTAACCAAATCACACTGATTGATCTCCAAATTGGTCTATGTGGGACCAGATTCGAGTGAGGAAGTAATTAAAATGCTCATGGCGGCCATCGAAAACAGCTTTGAATGGTATTTGGGCCGGTCTGCATCGTGGTTGGGGAGGTGGCAACTGCAGATTGAACTGGAATGAAAGGAGCCTGATAGGCTGCGTATCTAGTCTGGGCAGGGGCCCTAAGGCCTGGCTGGGTTGTGCCTCTCTGGGAGAGGGGTCTCTGTAGGGTTGCTCCAATTGGGGTTTGCATTTGTGGTTGCCATGAGGAAAGTGGGTGTTGCCTGGTTCCCTGCCTGGTTGGAGGGGGAGTGCCTGCTGTCTGCTGTCTGGGTAGATACCCTTCAATCCAGGGCTTTGTTGGCACCATCATCCATTGGCACTGAATCCACCCCTGGCCTGGATAAAATCCCCACCCTGGAGGGATACTTTCTGCAGGGGGTAACCTTCTTTCTGGAAAGTGGGGAGCAGGACTTGGGGTTTGCAACATACCTCTGGTAGTCAGCACCTCTTGCTGGGCCTCTCCAACTGGCATCTGTGTAATCTCCTCTTTCCTCATGATACTTGGGTTAGAGAAGATGGATTGTGTCAGGCTTCAACTTGTCCAGACAGGCTGTGGCTTTGAGACCAAGCTTGCCACTTTTAACTGGTGGAATTGGTGTTGTAATTCCGCCATCGATGGGCTCCCAGAATCAATCTTGGGGTTATGATCTTGAGAGAGTTCCGACTCAATTTGGGTCTCCTCCCTCCAGTCTGCTTCCTTTGCTGTATACAGAGGGCTAGTGAAAGATTTTTCTTCAGGCTGTCTGTGTAAAGTTGTTTTGCAACTCCCCCATGAGTTAGAACGTCTTGGCCTGGCTCCCAAATCCTTTCTCTCCTCTGCTATTCTAAAGGCATCCATCATCTCCCCCAAAAGGGGGCTGAAAGATTCAGCTAATGCTCCAGAGCCCCCCCCCAAGCCCTATCCTGCTCACCTTCAGTGTTGGCTGATTCTTGAGCTTTCGCCATCGCTTGAAAAAAAAGTCTCTGGGGTATCAGCTCAAGCCCCGTTAGAAAAAAGTGAGTTCGGTTTAAAACAGTAATTCTGAAACAGACATATCTCAAAGTACCCTATTAAAAACTATCACTGGTAATGTCTGTGAAATTTCAGAACTGAAATCATTCCGAGACCTTCCCACAAAATTCAACCTCCCCCCTCCCACTTTTCTATACCTCATTAATCACGTGAACCAATTACTCTGCGGCTGCAATTTCTTAGTGCGACATACTAAATAACCTTGAACTTTCAAACTAAACTTTTTTCCCTTTTAAACTATTCAACTACATCACCCCCCCACCCCAACATTCTTCAACTCTGTGGCAGCGATGAATTCCAGAGCTAACAGTCAGCCGTATGTTGGTTACACCAACTTCAAGACTGGCTACCCAGCACTGATGTCACAGTCCACCCAGACCTCAACAAAATCATTGCCATTGCTGAATTCACGGCTGACACTACCCCAAGCTCTGCCAGATTCATGTCAAAGGCAATGGCTTCCTCTGTGTCTTCAAGTCACCTCCTCTGGTGTCTGCAGTGCAGTTAGCTTGTTCATATGACCAAGGTTGTAATCAGGGTCTCTATAACATAGCAAGAAATGAATTGTGGTATTTAGGGACAGTTCGCAGACAATAGTCTCAGTAAGAGCAAGCTCCTGTGTAACATTTATCTTTTTCAAACTTAGGGACTTTTTATAGAAGATAGCAACACCACCCCCTCTATGGTTATCATGGTCAGACTGGAAAACATGAGCCATCACTGTTCTTGAACTTGGGGCCGTCGCAGGAAATATTGATGATTTCATCGGGAGTGATGGTTGATGTCTGGAAGTTGCTGATGAAGTTGCGAACCTTTGTGGTGTCATCAGATTCATTGGTGTCATCCAGTCCAAATAAGATAGTGTTGGGATGCTTCTGTTCATGTTCAATTGCATCTTTGATAAGGAAGGAGATGTTACTAGCAGGATTAGTGATTTCCAGCAGCTTGGGTTGTTGAGCTGTGTCATGATTACGGGATACTGGTGCTTCACTTTTCTGCATTTTATCCTTTTCTTCAAGGGATGCTGGACATGCTTCCAAAGTATCCACCCATTCAAGCAAAACAATACATTTGTCAAGTCTGGGCTTGCAGGATGGGCAGAATAGTGGAAATGCAAATTGGGAGGTTTCTAGTGATGTTGATTGAAGAAACTGGGCTACACCTTTGGTTAACCCAAAACACTTGTAGTGGGCGTATGAGTCCATAGGGAGCACTTCATAGTGCTCTCAATCTCCTCAAATGTTTCATCACAGACAAAGCATGTGCAGGATTCATAAGACACATCAGTAGCAGTCCCCTTCTTTTTGGGTTGGGGCTTGGCAGTAGAGTGTCATGATTGTCTATGGATTGTCTGTTTTTTTAATTACTATTTTTTATTTATTTAGTGTGGCTGGGTTCTTTAGAGTAGCCAGTGGGAGCCTCAACTTAGCTCACCTTGTCAGCTCTTGGGAAGTTGGCTTTCCTTTGAAACAGTAGCCCAGCTCACTCCCCAGGTCTCCCTGGCTGCCCAGCTGTTTATTGCCATTAATTAGTTTTATTGCTTACTTTTCTGGAGGGACTCCTCTGATCGCCTTGGCTTCCCTCCCTGTTAGCCTCGGGTAGGGAATTGTCTTGCTGTTTGTTTGGCCTCAGGCCTCTCTGATGTTACCAGCTAGTTCCGGCTTCCTTCTTTTGGCAGCAGCATGTGAGGTGTCATCAGCTGGTCTCTTGGCACAGTGCAAATATTGATAGGTCCAAGCATGGAGGCAGAGAGAAGACAGGTGATCCAGACAATCTGCAAAGCTGCCTGACTCATGGGGGGGCTCATGGGAGGCTTGCATGGTGGAACCAGAAACAGGCAAATTGCTCCATTACCAAATGCCCCATAGGTGATCAAACACTTTTCACCTGGATGGAGAAATGATGGAGACTCAAAGCTTTGTGTGCTTCCAAAGGGGATGGTTTGAAATGGAGCTAATTGCTCAGTTTCAAAATGTCCACTTTGGTTGAAAAGTGTTTGGGTAGGTACCACAAGCCCTGTCCTCTGTCCCATTGTCTGCTTCAATCAGGGCCAAGCTCTTGGCATGCCCCAGCCTCCATCTGCCCTGCTAGGAGAGTGAAGAGTGTCATCAAAATGTGCCATCAATGAATTAAAATCAAGAAAGTTTATCAGATCACCTTGGAATCTTCTCTAATAATCACTGGTTATAAATCCATGGAATAAGATTTTGACTAGGAAGGGAGGGAGGGAAGGAAGGAAGGAAGGAAGGAAGGAAGGAAAGGAAGGAAGGAAGGAAGGAAGGAAGGAAGGAAGGAAGGAAGAAAGGAAGGAAGGAAGGAAGGAAGGAAGGAAGGAAGGAAGGAAGGAAGGAAGGAAGGATAAATATCTTGATCAGTTTGGCTGGAGTCCTTGTTGGCTCAAGGATAATTTTTTGAGATTTTTCCAAAAAAGAAGATAACCTGTAACAGAGCATTCTTTTTCTATAGATTTGAGAAAGGGGTGGGGGGGGGTCATAGAAATCTTCTCTGAACAATTAAATTTTCTTAGAAAAGCTACTTTTGCTGATTTAATTTTTCCTGAGTTTTCCCTCTAGATGTATGCTAATTTGCAATAGTCACTATTCAATCTTTGATTCATAGTATAAAGAATAAAATCTGTATTAATCTGTAATTATGATAGAAGTTTGTCACGCACTTAAAGGAATTCACACTCTGACAAAACTGCTGAAAATCCAAAAAGCTATGCTGCTAGAGATGATGTAGCTGGTTCAGATGGCAGGTTTTGAATGCAGTTTGAAATTATATTTAGTTAGCTAACTTTCTCACCCAGTGTAGCGGATTTTGCATTGAGATTTTTCTGCTGTGGGTCATTCACCCATCTTTCTTAACTTCTGAGTTTCATCCTGCAAACTTTGCAATCAAGCAGATAGTCTGGAGCCTGGTTTAAGCCTATGAATAATGTGAGATTACATTAAAAAAGAACTTTCTAAGGTTTAGCTTTCCTGAAAATATCATTCCCACAGGCAATGGATTTTTTAAAAGAAAAAAAAATAACTTTATTTATTGATTGGCTTTGGTGCCAGACTGTCTGAGGCTTTTGTACTGCTAGGTTAAAGCTGTCATAATTAATGTATGTATCTGCAAGCAGACATGGACAGAGATTCATAATTAGTTAAGGGTAAGTGAAGTTTGACATGAAGGAGGCAATCTATTATAGCTGTGGAAGGTTCCTAGTAATGCTTCTTTTTCGTTCCTTGTGGGCTAAAATCTGGTTGTCCTCTTGCTCCCCCTGCTGGCCATACTTTGATGATACCAAAAGAAGGAGGAGGAGGAGGAGGAGGTGGTGGTATTCAAGGTAGCCACATTTTGTCTTAATAAAACAGATAAGTAACACAGAGGAGAAGCAATTTGTCTCACTGGGCTACAGGAACGGTACCATTGACCTCACTAAAGCACTCTGCACTTGCTGGAGACTCTTCAGAAACATCAGTGTGCTTTTGGTAAGCAAATAGGACAGGGTTGTCAAACTCAATTACATTGAGGGCCGCATCAAGGTTGTCTTTTACCCTGCGGGGGGGGGGGGGGGGCCCGCGGGGGGGGGGGGGGGGCCCCCAAAAGGTCCTCCAGGTTGGGGGGGCCTGTAGTGGCCTGGGGGCTGTGCCAGTGAAAATGGGCTACTGAACTCCGTTTTCAGCTGTGAAGGCCTCCTGTAACCTTCTGCTAGCAAAAATGGAGCTCAGGAGGGATGTGAGTGACCCTCCCAAGTTACATTTTTGCTGGCAGAGGCACCACAGGCCAGTCCTTTGCTGTTTCCAGGCTGGCCCCATGGGCCAGATCTGGCTCCTGTGCCTTGAGTTTAATACCCCTGAAACAGGGGTGGGATGCTACCAATTCGGCCCGGTTCTATAGAACCTGTCATGCCCCTGGTGGAGACTGACTCTGAGGGAGAGGAGGAACAGCCAACAGGGAGTGGAAGTGTGGCTCCAGAGGTTGTGGGGGAGGCTGGGGAGGGGCAGAGGCCAGCTGAGCAGTCAGAGGAGGACCCAGGCCCATCCCCTATCCATCCCAGGGCACGCAGGGAGAAGAGGATCAGGGAAAAACATGGTCTACTCAGGAGGAGAGGGCCATGATCCTCTTCATGGGTTGCAGGTATGAAATCTGCATAAGAGTTTGGACCTGCGTGCTAGCAAATGCTGAAGACAAAAAGTGGTTTTTCCAGGTTTATCTTGGTTGGCATTTGTCTAACAGACTGTACCTGGTTATCTTCTGGAAGTTTGTAATTAATTATCCTGGTCTGTCGTGGAACTTTCTTCAGTGCGGTTTGTTTTTGATTTTTGCTTCATTATCTGCTCTTTGATTTTGAACTGTATTTCTTTCATTTGGAATGTTTGAAAATAGTTTAATCTCCAACTGTGAACAATTGAACAATGAAGCCAAGTTGAAGGCATTAAAGGACCTTTATTTACGTTTTGGTTTTTGTTATATTTGTGGTACACTCCAGGTCATCACAGAACCTGTAGCTGCGAAGAACAACTGACAACGAACCGGTTCGGTGTTTGGCCCACATGCCTGCCTGGGCTCTAGGCTGTCCTTTATTCCCTGCTTTTCCCTCCTCAGCTGCTTTGCGTGGCACAGCTGAGGTTGAAAAAGCAGGAAACAAGAGGATCTTTAAACACTGAGCACCTGAGTGCAGCACTTGTCAGCTGTCCAGGCAGCACAGCTGATGATTTCTTGCAAACGCTGCACACACGATTGTCCACAGTTCGGAGAACCGGCAAATCACTCCACTGGCTGGCCCCTCTCCTCCCCACCCACTCACTCCTTACCTGGCATGCGAGTCATCCAACTTGCCTGGTTTGGTAAGTTGCTACTTTTTCTTTTTTCCCCTGACCATCAGCTGTTCTGCTCTGCCAGGAGACTTAGATTAGCTAGAAAGCAGGAAATCTTGGATTTCTTGCTTTCTAGCTAATCTAAAAGTAGAGCCGAACTTTCCTTAGGACTGAAGTGCAGACTCAGGTAGCTGACTGCAGATAGATAGATCTCTAACTTAATCTTTGATTCTGTGAGCAACTCAATCTGCCAGCCTGCTTTGGGGTAAAAGTTGCTCTCTTTTTTTTAAAATAAAAAATTCAATATTTACATACATGGTGTGTTGTGAATTAATCTTGTGAGTTTGCTTGCTAGCAATTTTTGTGAGTTTGCTTGCAAGCAAATTTTATGTGACAGACTCAGTTAGCCAATTGCAGATAGATAGATCTCTGTGATTCTGTGAGCAACTCAATCTGCCTGCTTTACCTGCTTTTGGGTAAAAGTTGCTCTATTTTTATAAAAAAAATCAATATTTACATAAATATGTATAATATTTACATACAAGCCATGCCCACCAAGTCACATGACCACCAAGCCACACCCACAAATTAGGCCACACCCACAGAACTGGTTGTTAAGAAATTTGAATCCCACCCCTGCCCTGAAATAGGACATTGGCAAGATGCAAGACCATTGAATTCAAACAGGGGACTTGCCTACCAGCCATATTTTCTTATGCTGGAAGACAAAGAATGAAGCAGCCAGGGGTG